AGCTGAAAGCTGAAAGCGTTCAACATTTAACTTTTTATGCAAAAGAGTGCATACTTTTTTGTGTGTTTTTTTGTGTTGCCCAAAGGTTGAACAAGTGGGCGTGTGAGGCTGCTGTCAAGGATTTCAAAAAAGAAAGAACATCTGGATTATAAGACTCGTATAAATATGCAGATTTTTGCAGAAAGGTAGAAAGAAGAGATTCAACAATTTATGGCAGATTTAGAAGTGAATTTATTCAGGGAGTTTAATCTTTAATGGGTGGTCTTGAGTCAAGTAATTAGAGCTAAGTGAACAGGAATTCGTTGTAGGAATTATTTTATAGAAAAATGTTCATACTACTCGATTAAATTGCAGCGAAATGATTACAGTTTTAAACTCTATTAAACATAGTCAATCCGGATTATTTTCCCATCATTTGTATTGTTTTAATTAACCCTGATTAAGTCAGTAAATCAATGTCATTAGTGTCATAAACTATTGAAATTGACACTTTTGTCATTACCTGTAAAAAAATATTTATGTAGCATCCTAGTGATTGCTGATTTTCATGCTATTTTAATTTATGATTTTCTCCATTTCTGATATCATATTACACAGTCTGGGAGCAGCCATTACACTTCCATAAACATCACCATTAGAGATTCCTTTTAGAGCTCTCCTTGACGCCTAGAATATCCCCCAAATCCGTCCAATGAAATTACTATCAACGTCAACAGCCGCATGCAACTTGGTCGCCAGCCAAGAGCCCAAACACTTTTGTGGGGAGAGGAGAGCGAGCACCCGAGGACTGCGTCACGGCAGAGCGAGGGCAGCCCCAATGCATAAAGCACCTGGCGGGCTGGCAGTCAGGCAGGGGGCCTGGCGACTGGCCCTGTAATCCATTCACTTGCGAAGAGGAAATTATTATAATTGCATTAGTTCCAAAGGCAGAAAATTGAAATTGAAAAACGTTAGACGATGTCGGGCATGGCCGGATGCTGATGGATGGGCAGATGGAAAGATTGGATGAGTGCTCACTGTACAGACGGCCAGATGGAAGGGTTGTGCCCCCAAGTTGACGTAATATCCCCTGGCTGAGGCGTGTCCTGGTTCCATATGGAACCAGTCACACGGTTAATGCTTTCTTTTTTCCTTAAAAATTAATCAAAAATAATATAATCTCTGGTAATTCTTTTTTTTCTCCGGAAGGAGAGATGTTCTTAGTAGGATTAATCAGCTAAGAAGGAAATCATTAGCAAATTGCTTATAATTGGCATTAGATACTCATTAGGTATACAACACGAGGCACCAGGCTTCAGAGGCATCAGCTCTGTCCCTGCGCTTTAATGAGAAAAGTTCTGTTTTATGTGTGTGTTCTCTGTACTCTTTATAATCGCCTAACATTGATGGGGCACGACTTGATAGACATTTCGTGCCTGTTCCGACGTTCGTGCGCAGTATTTTTAATGGTTGTCGATAGAGAAAATCAATACGGAAAATTATTCTTCTGATTAACACGGAATATGCCAGTCAACACCCAGCAGGAATAATGTCCTAATACTCAGTTCGGAAGTCAGAGTCAAGGATCAATGGCCCATGAAAGCAAATTTGATCAATGAAAAGCCAATTGAACGTAAAATACCCTCCCACAAAAGAAACATTTTTAAAGAGCCATAGAAATATTTGCTCTAAAATTCCGAAAAATGTAAACAGCCACAAAAAAAGGAAAAACAAAAATATACAAAAACCTCCGGGAAATGTAAAATTGTTATATGCCCTCCGCATGCGATGCTCTGATTTGCGTTGAAAATATGCAAATATCAAAATGAGTGAGTGACTGACGGAGGAGGAAACCTGAAAATACAATCGAAAGAGCCGGAAAAGCGAACACTGAGATGGAGTGGGGGGAAAACTCTCGTGCGACATGTGTTTCAGCATTTCAACTGTCAGGAGAAGGTTATATAAAGTGCAGGGCAAAAACGTTTGCCATTAGCTGGCACAAAAGTTAAACTCTCTCACAAATGTTTGCACTTTTGAGGTGACCTTACAGGAGTGTAGTTTACATTTTTGATTTCGCACCAAGCGCACCACCGAAAATGATGACCTCAAGTAATTAGAAAAGTTTTGTGCTCCACCGACAGTCTGCTCCATGGAGATTGCTGCACACAAAATGAACTTTTTACTCCTGCCAAATCCTCTAGGATTCAGCTTTCAATTTGCCTTTGATATTCCTCCCAACTTGCCGTTTGGTGTGGATTATGCTGCCTTCTTTAGATGCATTGAAGGGGTGACTGGTCTGGGACTTGCACACTTTGGAGAGACAATTGAAATGCCAAGTTTTTCATTATGAATTCTTTGAGGAAATGCAAAACTCCAGCGGAAAGCTTAAAAAGCAATCGCCTTTGAATAGGAAAATTGTTTGATTAGTTTTTTGTTGCAATTTGGAACTTTATTTAACCTTATCCATATTCTTGGAGACTATTTGGTATAAGAAGGATTCCTGATTCAATCTATTATATTTCTGTTTATTCTTCAATCCATCCATGCTCCCTCTTTAAATTCTTCGATCCATTTTAGTTTATTCTATTTATTTCAATTCGTAAGTGCACTTCAATCTATTCTGTTGTATTCCATTTTTTTATATTCTATTCTGACATCCTTTATTTATTTTCAAATCTAATTTCCTTTTCGAATTTGCAACCATAAAAATACCTAATAGAAACACTTCTCCCACACTTCTCCCACACAAAATGACAACACGTACAAAAATGTGTCCAAAAAATTAAAAAAAAGAAAGAGCAATGAATTTGGTAAGCATTCAAAGTGGAAAGTGGAAACTGTCAGAAAGGACGACTCATCCTCCTGCTTATCCCCACAGTTTCCTGCTCCCATAAGATAAGACGAGGAACAAAAGACAGAAGCAGCAGCAGCCACAGACAATGCTGCCATGGCAACCTCCAACAAGTGCGGATGTGGCTTCGGCTGTGACTGGAGGACTGTAGGAGTGGCGATAAACCCAGCATAAAGTACGAGTAAGTGAAACTACTTATGCAGGAGCAAGCCGGTTCAGCACAACCCTAGTCCTGGGGCCGACGCCCAGCTGACTGCAGGAGCCAGAAGGAGCCAACATATGTGTGCGGGCGAATCGATAGGCGTGTGACTGACGACTGGCTGGCGACACATAGCCGGCACTTGTTGTTGTTGCTGCGACCCAAAAAAAAAGGAGGAGTCCGGTGGTGGGTGATTGGCTGGATGGACGGTTGGTTGGCAGGGTGGTTGGGTGGCAAGGTGTTGCAATAAAAACTTTTGACTTCTGCCCTGGCGCTGATGTAATACCGCAAGACGATTTTCCTTCCCTGCTGTACGTCATATGGTCGAACAAGCGGCTAAAAAAAAAACAAAAAGCAGCAAGAACTTTGAATAAAACGCCGGCTGAAAAGGTGCTCTCTGGGAGATTTTACTCTCTTTTTCTAGAGTTTCTTACTCTCATTCTCCACCTCTCTTTCCCCTAATTTCTGCTTTCGTTTCTCCCTGCCTTTCACTCTCTCACTGTCGCTCTCTCTCCGTTGCACATGCGCGCAATACAATTTGTGTAAAGTTTTTACTTGAAATTAGCCAGCGAATTGCATTTGGCTCCCCGTCTTTTATCTATGGAGTCCCCCTTTCCTCTGACATGTTGATGAATCAGCTGTTCTGCACAGCCATTGGAATGGCCTTAGTGGAACCTTCTTCCAAAGAGAGTGAGTGTCTGTCCATGCCATTCCATTGAGTGAGTGTTCCAGTGAGTGGCGACATTCATTTCGGTGTCGGTGTCGGTGTCTCGGGCCTGCTGCCGGTGGCTCCCTATAGACCAGGGCACCGTGGCACCCCGGCCGGCCACAGCTGGCTAGGTACCCGTGCCCCCGGCCACCGTGTGGGCACCGCTGTCTGTGCCACAAGCCATATGCTATTGATTTTCTGGTGGGCTCCTCTGCCTGCCTTTTTGGCCATTTTTCTTTGCCTTGGGTCTTCTGTTGGCCCGTGTTTCTCGGCTTACTTCGCGTTTTGCTGACGCGCTCGGTGTCGGCCGTAATGTCAGTTAATTTATTTTCAAGCCAGAGAATATTTTTGTTATTTACTTTATGTCTTCATAGTCGCACAACTAAACATACACCTATGTATATATTCTTTTTGGTCTACTTTTTGGTTTGGAGTTGAGTTGTGGCTGCAAAAGTAAGTACAAATAATGTTGCATGACTCTCTGGCTTTGGCTTTGGGGCTGAATGTAATGACACTCCAAGGATTGTAAGGTGATATTGATCAAAGTTATGAAAGAACTGCTAGAAATGTGACCAAAGGGAAATCAAAAGAGATGGATGATGGAACAAAATGGGAAAATAGAAGAGGTGTAAGGAGATTAAAAGTCCATTTCTACGAATCTTCGATGCAGCAAAAATAATTAATCACTTTATGCGACGCTTTAGAATTTAATTAGAAACACCGACAATCATTTTGTTGAATTATGAAAGTCATTATTTACGATTAATTTCACTAATGCTCTGGAAAATATATTTGTAACCTCACACAAAAAAACCCCTTCCCACAAAACGTGGTATAAAATATTCATATATTTTTCGACCGAAATCAAAAATGCACCCTAATCCCACAATTCTTTTTAGTCGAGTCATAACTCAGTCGAGCCCGGCTTCGAGTCACCCCATTTCCGAGGCACTGCATCCGCCATCCCTCACCCACAAACATCCCCATTCCCATTCACTTGTCGCCTGCAAGATTGCAATAAAAATCCATTACAAACGTACACTCTCCAACAAAAGACAGACACAACTGTCGACGATAAATCAAAAGGAAAGGGCTGTGACAATATAAATGCAAATGTTCGCAGCCTCTAAAGTGGGCTAAGAGGCTAGCAGAACGAAACGAAACGAGACCCTTAAAAACAGTCAGACAAATATGGCTTTCAATAGATTATAAAAAAGATAGGACTGGGGGTTAGGTAGGGGTATATGGGGAATACTACTCACCTTGTCGACCGGCATTGATGGGCACGCTCTGCACAGATTCCAGAATGAGCCAATCATAGGGAAATGCTTTTGATGTTGTACCAGAAAATACAAATTAAATTCAACACGCGCACGTAGGCTTATGTATATTCTTCCTTCTTAAAATTTAAGTTTACTTATTTTATTGCTTTTTTTTTGTGTTTTCCTTTTGGGAGCAACAACCAGGGACACACACAGGGAATCACACGCGCTTTCAGTTCGCTTCCGTTTCCACTCTATCTCTCTATATGTATATCTCTCTCTCTCTCTCTCTATGTCTATACCTCTCTTACTCTCTCACTGTCTCTCTCACTCTCTATACGCACACGCACCTGGATAATGCGTAGCGAAGAAAGTGCGTTTGTATTATTGTCATAGGCCGAAAAGTGTATGAGATTTTGCCTGTTTTTTAAAAAAAGTAGAAAAAGGAAGTGAGGAAAGGCATTGCATACCAGCAGGCGCCAGCCAACGGTACTTCTGTATTTTTTACCGTTCCACTGATGATCTCATGCACAAACACGCACACACACACCCCAGGCGCAGAATTTCTTCGAAAATTTTGATAGAAGCCCACTGAATATCCTAGTAATTAGCAAATTAAAGGATTATAGCCAATGTGGAAAAACATTTTTATATCCTATAAAAATCCCATAGACTCGACACCCTCCCCTACCCTACCCCACCGCTAACTCGTTCGTTCGTTCGTTGTATTGCTTTTATTTTTATGCTCTGGCAAATCGATATCTATTTTTCATGACAGCCCTGTGGTATGCAATACTTTCATTTGCCGCCTCGCATTTCGACTGCAATTTTGCGATAATCTCTTGGTTTTTCTTTTCCTCGGATATGGCCACTGGAGCGAGACTTTTTGTGGTTTACTTTACCCAGCGTCTTGAAGGGGGTCTACTGGGCATACAACAACAACAACATATATTAGAGGTTCACAAGAAAACACACTTTTTCAATTTGAATTGAGTTTTGCACTGCTGCTGCTTGTGGACTCTGCTGCTGCTGCCTGCTATGCTTTTCCTTTGGTTATTCTTGGGATTTCTGTTGAGGGGTTTTTTTTCACCGAAAAAACGTTGGTCACTCGACGACGGTACGAACACGAATGAGTCCCCAGCATGAACGTTGTTGAAGCACCCCAGCGCGTCGGCGTTGGAGTTGACGCAGGGCTTGGAAGTTCTCCGTCTCTCTGTCGTGAAAATCCGGTGGATTGCGGGGTGGCTTCCCGCTTTATGGAAATTTTGATTGGAAATGGGAGAGAAAACATATGTTTGCAGGGCCGTCGCAGTGCCCAGTTCAATTTGTTTCCATTTCTCAGCAGAAGCAGCCAAAAGTGGCGAGAATTAAGACATTTTAAATAATTAAACTTTTACTCAACCTGGTAAATTTGTTTAAACATCGATACAAATTATTTGTATCGTATTCCAGCCATCTGGCAGCCCCATATCAGCAAGTCCTGGAAACGAGCCTTTTAAGCTTTAACCTTATTTTGCAAACAATCTAATAAAGATAAGTACTGAAAATTAGCCAACCTTGTGGAGAATTGAATGATTAATTGTATAAAATTATAGTTTTAGCGCGGAGATTCCTAACTAGCTAGTAATATCAAACAGAAGATCAAAGTCGAGGAAAATTATTTACGATTACGTTATTTGTAAGTGTGAACGTATATTATTTTTGGTATATTTGAAACGAACTTTATCTTTTCGAATTTTCTAATTGGTTAAAAGTTGACTTGACCAATAAAATTGAGAGAGTATATACAAATAAAAAGAACGAAATCAAATCAAAGAAACCGGTGATCAGTTAGATGATAATGATGATTTTTTCATCATTATCCGGTGTTCCTTACCAAAGGATAGGAGTAATTCCAATGTATAAGCCAATTTCTAGACTCAATTATTATGTAAAGATAGAAGAACTTCCCAATGCGCGCTGTTTTTCAAATTGTTCAATGTTTTCAGTTAATATACATGTCTCTCTTTAAATAATTTACATACATTTACATACTGAAGACAAAGCTCCCCTGGTTCCATCAGGGGTGATTTTAATAAAAAATTCAATTACAAACTTGTAAAATATAGGGTCATAAAGTATACAATCCAATCAAAGAAGTAGATAAAAATGAGCCATATGTATTCTTCAAACAGATTAAATTATTGTTTTAGTGTTCAAAGTCTTTGCAAGCTAGTAAAATCAAATAGAACATCAAACTCGAGGAATATAATTTTAGATTTTGGTATATTTTATCGATAGTTCCGCTGGAAACCATCCAAATCGTTGCAGCGATTACATACCAAAAATAAAAAATTAAATGAATCGGATTCGTCGAGCTATTTCTGATCAGGTAAGCTTTCAAAACCCTTAAACTTCATTGTGTTAACTCTCCCAAGACTCCTTCCTGTAGCTGCCGCAGCTGAAGAACATTTACCATGCCTTGGAAGTGCCCCTCAAGAATCAGCAGCTGCAAAATGCCCGGCTGCCGACTCTGGAATGGACTGTGCCGGCTGCCGTTGCACAACAGGAACAGGAGCTGCTGGACTCCCTGAGGAGTCATACCTTCGATGCGACGTACATAGAGAAAGTGCGTTTGGTGCCCAGTGCTGGACGCAGTGCCGCCAAAGTAGAGTTTCAGCTGCAGCCGCAGGCATTTGTGGAACAGCTTCTGCGGAAAAGGCAGCCGGAGGCATTGCCGCTTTCGCCAGCTGACGAGCATGTGGTTGTGGAGTACAGTTCCCCCAACATTGCCAAGCCCTTCCATGTGGGCCACCTGCGCTCCACGATTATTGGCAATGTGCTTGCCAATCTCCACCAGCATTTGGGCTACCGCACCACGCGCCTCAATTACCTCGGGGACTGGGGCACACAATTTGGTCTCCTGGCCCTGGGTGTTCAGCTGAACAATGTGAGCGATAAAGATATGCAGAGAGCACCCATTGAGACGCTATATAGATCCTATGTTGCGGCCAATAGAGCGGCTGAGGAGAACCCAGAGATTGCACAACGAGCGAGAGACCTCTTCACTGCTCTGGAGGCAGGAACAGACGACGCTATGGCCCAGCAATGGCAGCAGTATCGAAAGTATACCATTGAGGAACTGTCGGGTGTCTACAATCGACTGGGCGTCCACTTTGACAGCTACGAATGGGAGTCGGAGTATTCGCAACAGCAAATCAGCGATGTGCTGCAGAAGCTACGCTCTGCTGGGATTCTTCAGCGCGAGCTGGATGGCCGCGAAATTGTGGTGGTGGATGATCGACGCATTCCCGTAATCAAGAGCGATGGCTCCACATTGTATCTGGCAAGGGATATTGCTGCGCTCCTAGAGCGTCACTCCCGTTTGCAGTTCTCCCGCATCCTCTACGTGGTGGACAATGGCCAGGCGGATCATTTCAATGCCTTGTTTAAGACAACGGCTGCCTTGAACAAGCGACTGAGTCTGGAGCAGCTGCAGCATGTGAAATTCGGCCGCATTCATGGTATGAGCACGCGCCAGGGCAAGGCTATATTTCTGAGGGATGTCCTAGACGAGGCACGCGACGTGATGAGAGAGAAGCGTAATCAAACTCCTAGTATGTCGATCCATACCATCTATACTTTGTTAATAGCTCATTATTTATAATCTCCATTTTAGCCACCAGAGCGAATAGCTCTCTGGACGATGAAGATGTCTGTGATAGCCTGGGTGTTTCGGCTGTCCTGGTGAATGTCCTCAAGCAGCGACGGCAGCGCGATCATGAATTCAGCTGGCAGCAGGCACTCCAAGTCAATGGAGATACGGGCATTAAACTGCAGTACACACACTGCCGCCTGCATAGCCTTTTGGAGAACTTCAAAGATGTAGAACTGGAGGACACTGTACCCGATTGGCAGCATTACAGCCGGGAGCCAGTGGATGCCTTGGATTTGCTCTATGAGCTGGCCCGTTTTGAGCAATGCATTTGGCAATCCAAGGAGCAATTAGAGGCGTGTGTTCTGGTCAATTATTTGTTTGGTTTGTGGTGCGAATCTCAAGAATTCCAGTTGTCTAGAAACTTGTAATCCTTACTCTGAATATCCTCTAGCAATGCCACAAGTCGTGCCCTGAAACGTTTACCTGTGAAGCTGGAGAGCTGCCCGCTGAAGCAATCACAGCGTTTGCTGCTCTTCCAAGCCGCAAAGCGGACGCTGCAGAAGGGAATGCAGCTGCTGGGCCTCAGGCCGCTCGACCAAATGTAGAGAAAGACTATCTTTAACATAGTTTTATATTTATTAAACATTTTTAAACTGAAATGCAACGTGAGATATGTGCGCCCCCCCTTAGCGCTTCTTCCACGTGTACTTTCGACGTGCTCCTTCCTGTCCGAACTTCTTGCGCTCGCGCCGGCGATAGTCACGTGTCAGCAGACCGACTGTAACATAAATGGCAACAATTAGCGGCAAATATATAGAGCTAAAGAAAAGGCACTTACCCAAACGCATTGACTCAATCATCTCTTGATCAACGAAGCTGCGCAAACACATGGCAATGCCCCAGCGTATGGCACCCGACTGACCGGATGGACCGCCGCCTTCGACATTGGCCTCCACATCGACTTTGCCCAGCAATTCGCTGTAGTTCAGCGGGAATAGCAGCTGCAAAAGACCACAAGAACATCAAAATTAGAGGAAAACGCGAAAAATTCAAACATTGGGCCACCGTTAGATGTCAAGTTCAGATGTCACCCCCGAGGCATCCATTGTACAGAGAATAGAGATAGATCTATATAATAGTTATTGTATTCACCAGAATGTGAATGCGAATGCGATTGCGGTAGCACTTCCTGTACAACAATAGCTAATGGCCAAATCGCTAGCCAAATTAAATGTCTGTTAGCCGCACAGCCACTAAACTGCAACAAATTGTTGCATGTTCGCCCTTGGGGCGGTTCGTCGGGTACGGCTAGTGTGAACTGTGCGATCTCTCTCTAACAGCAGGTGTGAGGCAAATTATAAGTGCATTAGGCAGAGGTCTGGCGATAATTGCAGAGCCGCAGGCCAGACTCAGCAGCACGCGCTGCCCCCTCCCACAATTCATTTGTTAACAGTACGGGGGAAATATAGAACAAGTGTATCCCATAGAACACAAAAGCAATTTTAATTGTGTAACTCTAAATGAAGTAATTGTTTTTAAAACAAAAATTTCTTAAATAAAACCTTAGAAAGGAGTAAAGAATATTTAAGGTCTTTGAAGTAAATGAGAATCAGTTTAGAAGGAAAAATAACAGACGAAGGAGCAGAAATGGCGCTCCTTTGACTATTATAAAGAATTCTCTTGAACAGATCCTGGGTTCAGCCATAAGAAAAGGGATCATTTTATGGATTCTAAGTGTACAGTATGTAATTGTACAGTAATTAATTGCTAATAGAAAAAACTGTTGCCCAAACGACAATAGCAACCAAATGAATGAATGAATCTCATTCGGAATTCATTCCAAAGAACTCCCCCAATCAGCTGCTAAATTCTGGGAATATAGAATATATTCATACAATTAATTACACACATATTTGTTGCATATTAAACACCCAAAAAAAACACACTGTGACGCCAGTTTCAAAGTTCACATAATCCAACAGAACAGATCACAACAAATCGTAATTCAAATTCTGAATTTGGTTTTCAGGTCGTCTGATCTGTCGATCCGATTGCGTGGGAAATAAAGTCCAAGCCCCCCTCGGGGGCACATTGGTCCACGGCACACAGACAATAAACGTTATGATTAAAAAACAATAAACAATAAAAACCTCAACAATCGAACTGGGGAACAGGCAATTTTTTAACTCTTTCTTTTTTGGTAAACCAAATTGACAAACGACAATCAATCAAATCAAAAGATTTTCGAGATGAGAGCGGACAAATTTGTGATTTGTTTAAGCAAATTGCTGGATAGATGACTTCACGCTACAGCGAGAAACATTAAAAGGCTTTAGGATCGCGAACAAGATTTTTAAATTAATGTACACACACAATTAACGACAGAGACAAAATGCGATAAAAATAGCAACCAATTTGCAGAAAATGTGACGAAGCACACGAGAGATAAAAACTGGTTTATAATCCCCTGTATTTAAGGGGTTCCCGCCACACTAAATCAGAACCATTTGCACAGGAATAATTGGGGGTGTTTGGCGGTTATTAATTCCCTATTTCTTTGGGCTTTTTCTTTAAATAACTTAAGGGCCACTTGCCTAAGGTCTTCTCCCAGAAATTTCTACTAGAACACTCTATATCTTTCTCAAGATTATCTATGTAGGGGTGTAAATTCTATAGACAACCCGGCTTTTCGATGCCCACTTCAAGAATATTCGCGGGTACCTTTTATTATGATTTAAATGAATTTTATAGTTTGACACATCCAACGAAGATGTGATCATAGTAAGTACAACAACGACGGCATCTTCGTGGGCTATCGTCGTCGTACAACTGTAAAAGACTGTCGGATTGTGTATAGTATATATACTAAGTGTACTGTATCTACATCTTCATTGACGCGTCTCTCGGGCGCTTAGTTTTGGACACAGACCGGAGACAAACGGAGAGCAGAATATCATTTTGGCGCAGTTCTTTTTATCAGTCGATTCTACGTCGTTGAGCGTCCGCGTCTTAAGTGTCGGAAAACTATCCATAAAAAAAGGAATAAAATGTCGGGTGGATTAATACAGCCACGGCACTGGGCCTGTCATTAAAAGCAGAATTAAAAGACTTGATTAAATGCAAAGTGAAGTTTTATGCCTTAAATATCAAAGAAACAGGACTCTACGATAAATGCAGGAAAATTCTAGAAGGTTTTCCTGAAACAGTACTCTGAAAAAGAGATGAAAGAAAGATCTAATAAAAATACAAATACAAGTTTAAAGATTATGAATCAATAGATCTGTGTTCTACAGAAACCCTTATTCAGTTTTCTTAGCTTTAATAATAAAATTCAATCTGAAATATCTGCACAAATAAAACGCTCGTTAGATCTGCGATAATACAACGAACGATTTAAGAAAAATCTCTGTCAAATGGAAAGCTCCCGCTCATGAATAACAATTGAGATTTGTTTACTACGTTTGTTATCCTTTAATTGGTGCACTATGGCACAGAAATTCAATTGGCAGCTGCATGCACATGACAGATAGATCTAGTAGTGCTTCTATATTCTATGCACTATATCTCTTCATATGTATAGTTGAGGGCGGGCAATGGGGGCATGCGATTCAGGTTCAAGGGCATTATGAAAGCAACGCAACAAATAAAAACTTAACTCGGGCCAATGCGTTTGCTCGTAATGCCTCCCCACCCACCCCCTGGACCCACCCATTGTGTCCACAAAAGAAAAAGTAAGAAAAAGAAACTCAAATTGATTTCAATTATAATTGAATCAACGCTCGAGCGATAAGAAATACACGAGAAAGTAAGCGAACCGACGAGTACAAGTACAATCGTCCGGCTTTCCGTCGTCCGTCGTCCGTCGATGGCGTCGCAGTTTTCCCAAAATGGCCGTCGCCAACAGCAACAGCAAAATGGCGCTTCCGGGCCATCCGTCGATCAGCAATTAAAATCAACAACAAAAGCGTGCCGCCGTTCCGTTCCGTTCTGTTCCACTCTCCGGTAATCGTTTGCTCTATTTAAAGAATACCAGAGAATAGGTTTTGCCTTTTGCCAGTGCGAAAAATTCATCAAAAATTTATTAATTGCTTTTGCAACGAAAAACTGTAATCACACGGGGGCGTTATTCAAACCAATATTTATTTGTGATGTTAGCGACTTTTGGACTTGACTCGACTCGACTCCCCCCCGCCTGAAAGCCACAGAGACGGACGATAACCAACAGACCACAGCAGATCAGATCAGATCTCCACTATGGAGCTCCGAAAACTGGTTTCTCAACTACGCACAGAATTTGATTAATTTGCTCGCATAATTTAGCGCCCAGTCTCCGGTCTTTTGGTATGTTTTAGCCTTGTTTATCACCAGATTTGTCTAATAAGTCAGCAACAATTTTTACGCAAAGAAAGTTTTTCATTCGCGTTTTGTCGCCAGGCAAACAATCTCTTTATTTTTGTTGTATTGTTTATACGACTTTTGTTTATGTTTTTGCAAACAGGTTCGAAAGATTCCCAGAAATTCTTGTGGGGTAATACGATGCCAGAAGTAAAATCCATTAAATGGAACCTAAACAAGCTTGACGCTTCGTTGGGTAATTGAATTTGAGATTTCAGACAACAATTAACTCGACCTGGGCATTCGTTATATAAATAATGGGGGGAAAAACGAGCTGTGAAAAATATTTTTCTTTATCTCTTTTTCTTCTTTCCAGCAGAATAAATGTAAAAATAGTTTTTAGGAGACAATATATATTAAAAGATGAAAATAACTGAACGATAAATACAATTATCTAACAACGAGATAAGAAAAAGAAAAGATTAAGATAATAAACACAAAAAAACAAACAGGAAATAAGAGAAAGATTAAAACAAAAGATTAAAAACCAATAGTATTCAAATTTAAAGAAGGTACTAAGAAGCTCCTTAAAATATATAGAAAACACTTTAGAAACCTCTTATTAAATAGTCTCTTTATACTGAAGCGCTCCTGAACTCCCTTTAGGAATTTGCCAATTTGAGTGAGAATGAATAAGTCTGTAAACTTTGCCTCTCTCAAGTTGACATAAATTGTAAATAATCTGAACACACAAAATCAAGCAAAAAAGTAAGCAAACAAAGTACATGGCTGGGGTCCAGAGAGGGGCTTATATTACTAGAAAAGGGTAGAGAGACATCACCCCTTTTACGAGTACCGGTAGCACTTGAAGTTAAATCTACCCAGATTGTCTGGCTATCACTGTGATTATGATGATGATGCCATGATGATGCTGGTGGGCACTTGGACCTAGGCTTATCAAAGGCTGCGTCAAATGGCAGGCGCTTAGATAACAGACCAACAGTCCCACGAGTGGAGTGGAGTGCCGCATTCAACGCAAATCAGAGCCAAAAACTCTGGGCAGAGTCCACAGGCACAGACTCTTAGTTCTCACAGTCGAAAATAAACCCAAAGAAGCCTCTTTATTTGTGCGGATATTTAGAAGAAAGTAAACCTGAAAGATCTTTGTCATTCAGTTGGGATTCGAAGCTCTGCGGGAGCGATCATTGGGGGGGGGAACAAAAACCAATCTATAAACTTTCCATCTAAACTATCTTTTGCAGAGACAAAATCCAGCATGAGAATTGGGCTATAAATTAACCAACTTCTCTCCGTTTTCTGTGTGTATGTGTCAGTGATATTGGAAAGTAACATTGCCCGTTTATTTATTGGCAATTTACAACACGCTGACAACGGTCTTAGCTAAAGTGCATTGTGCATTGAATTCCGTTGAGTATTTTAGCGCATTTTTGCGCGTTTTGATTCACCAACAAAAAGCAAACGACGGATACAAAGACAGAGACAACGACAACGAGAAGCAACCATCGTCTGGCCATCGTCATCGTCGTCGACACCATGGAGAATCTTGGCTATAAGGAGGGCAGTACGAAACCCCGTCGCATGACACGTTCGATCAGTGTCGTTACCAAGACCGAAGTGGAACAGCCGCTCAATGAGAATAATGCAAATAACCGGTAAGTGCCACCAATTCGAAAATAAAGTTAAAGCCAGCTTCTGTCTCTGCCTCTGCCTCTGCTTCAGACTCTCACTCTGTTGCAGTTTACACTGAAAGTTTACATCTCTTATGTGTAAGACTCCGCAAAAGCTAATAGCATTATAAAATATGAAAATGTGTTCGCCAAACCCCGAACAAAAAAGACACGGAAGCATTTTAATGATTTATGTGACAAATGAATGAATTACTATCAAAAATAAAGTTAAAATACAGCAACCAGATGGTTTCATAATTCTATACAGATATGTATGTATGCATACAAAACAATCCTCTGTCCAGAGAACAACAACCTTTTTTTGTCGGTTGTTTGTGGAAATTTTCACGTGCAAAAATTACATTAGATAATTATTTGAATTACTTCACAAGCCAGCAGTCGAGTTAATTATTAACGAATTATCATTGAATAGCAAATGGAAATAGAAGTACCATAAATAATCTAAATGAAAAAAAGTTAATTTAATTTAAATTAAAGGAGTAGAGATGAAACTTCACATATTTGGAACATAGTTTAATCAAGGTTAAAAGTTTTTTTTCTCTTTAAAGTCAAGTCAGTTTTCCTTACCAATTATTTGGCATTGTTCCCCTTATTTTTTACAAGATTTCACTCACATATTTAATATTATTCACTTTTTGAAGTGCAACTATTTATAACGATCTTCTTCAAAGAAAAAAGAAAGAAATTAAAGGTTTTATGTTTGCAATTTTGTTGAGCAAAATTCCATCAAATCTCAAAGCTTTCTAGAGGTCAATAACACAACACAAATCTTTAAAGCTCAGAATATCTTAAAATATTTTTATTTTGATTTTTTCTCTACAAAAACTAGTTTTCCTCAAAGGATCTTTAGGCAATCTTCCATCTCCGTACAAAGAAAACACCCAAGCACCAACACCTTCCAAATATCAACTCTTAAAAGCCCAAAAAGATTTCCACACCCACTCAAAAAACACAAATAATTCACAGATGATTTTTGGCCATCTCTCTCTCACTCTCCCTCTTATAGGGTTATCTCTCTCTCTGTACCAGATCTCTCCGCGATTCTCTCTGTAGTTTACCTCTCTTTCAATCTCGATTGACGACTTAACCACAACGGCTTATGGTTTTTCATCAAGCGCTCAGTTCGGGCAGTCGGCAGTCGGTTTTGGAACAACAATGCAGGCGGACGCGTTTGTGGCTTGACTGAAAATTCAGACGAAATAAGGCAAATCGAAAAACGCGTTCGTAGTGATTATAAAACCAACAATAAAAAAACACACACAAAAAAGTAGTAAAATAGAAAAGCTGTAGAATAGAAAGAAGGCAACAACAAAACGGAAGTGAAAAATTCGCGTTTTTTCACACAACATTTTTGCATTTTCCGCCCGTTAGAGATGATCACAATTGTATAATCACCACAAAAGGCTTCCATTGTAAGCCACTTGTCCCGTTCCGTTTCGTTCGACTGCAACCAACACCGCCCTCCCCCACCCACCCCTGTCCAATCCGATCCGATCCGGTCCGGTCCGTAGTCCGTATGGCATTCGGCGGTGCTTTGTCTCCCATGTATTTTGGAAATGAAATTAGATATTGAAAATAGCTCATTGGCGAATTGGCATCATCCGTGGATATGGCTGCAAACGGTGTACGTATTTTCAATGTGAGATAAAAATACAAAGAGGGTGAGAGAGTGAACGAGAGAGAGAGTTAAGTGATCAACAAAGAAAAGTCAGGGATTCCCTTACCCACCCAAAAGTTATACAACAAGTGCATGGACAAGGTCTAAAATTATGCAAAAAAAAAATATCAGCCATAAACGAAATCAGCTTTTGGTCTTGGACTTCGCCAGAGATCACAGCCGGCACTCGGACAATAAATCAACGTAAACCAAATAAAAATATTGACAACTTTGCATAACTCCGAAAGCGAGAAAAACAAAATAAAATTATTTCAAATTATTCATGCTCTCGGTAGATGCCAGAGTCAACCAACAAAACAGAGACTCGAACTTTAGTGCTGCTCAGTGCCATTTACAAACAATGAAAAACAGATTTACAAGTCCATAAAAATAGCAGAGATGAAAGCCAGACGACAGCTGCGACTTTATCTAATGATCCAAGTTTTAATTTAAAGTGAATGAATCATTAACCATTACGGGAGCCTCGTAATGGTAGAACTTATGTTTTTATCAGGGCTAAAGACAAAACAGATGGTTGTAAACAGATGGGGAACAAAAATAAGTCAAGGATGATTAACAATTTGGAAAATAATAGTAGAACTTTTTCGATTTAATGGTGACAGAGAAAAGAATATGAAAAAGATTTGACAAAGATCTTTTTGGGTTCAATGTATTTCGTGTCTATTCCTAAGAGTTGTTTCAAACCACTTTAAAAATGCTCAAAACAAACCAACTTTATTCGTTTTCCTAAGATAATCTTTATAGTAAACCAAAGGCATGTTTGGAATAAGTAAAATAAACTTTAGCTTAAATTTCTTTAGACCCCAAACCCACTTAAATGTTTTCTTTAATTACCTAAACGTGTGTGTGTTTGTTAAACTAATTAAATTTCCGAATTCCAAACAATTCAAAACTATCTTTCACTAATCATAGAAAAACATCTCTTCAACATAGCTTCAAATCGATTCCACCCAACCTGATGGTGCGATGGCGGAATAACAACACTGACGCCATGATCGAAGCTCAGTATCCGACAGCTGGAGAATTCGAATACATGGAGTGTGGACCGTCACCGCCGGCGGAGAGCGCACCGTCAATGTACGACAGCTTCGAGGAGCCCACCAGCGAGCTGAGCGTTCAGATCTGCAATGATACGCTTCGCCTAAGTCTCATCGATCAGATGAAGAGTGCCACCGGGCGAGTGCGTTTATTTGAGGACATTGAGCAGGGAAATGTCGTGGCCGAGAGCACGAAGACGCACTTTGAGTCTGCCTCGAAGTTGGAGAAGAATCTCTGCTATTTGTGGGCTGCGTTCCTCAAGCGCTGGGACCTCATCGAGGGCCTGATGGAGGTGGGCGCTGATCTGCACTTTTGTGATCAGAATGGCATCTCCTCCATGCATTTGGCGGCATTCAGCGGATGCCTTGCCACACTGGGATTGCTCGTCTCCAAGGGAATGAATGTGAATCTGCAGTCCAAGTGCTATACCCCACTACACTGTGCCGCCTTTGGCAATGCCGCTGAGGCCGCCAAGTTCCTAATCAACAATGGGGCCGACATTACCAAGGACACCAATAAGCCCAACTGCGAGGAGAGTCTCCTGCACTGTGCCGTGCGTTCGAATGCTCTCGAGTGTCTGCAGATCTTCATCAGCGAGGGAGCCGACGTGAACTCCCTCAAACCAAATGGGACAAATGCTATCCATTTGGCCGCCGATCTGGGCAACATGCAGTGCCTCGAGGCCCTGCTCAATGCCCCCAATGCGGATGCGAATGTAAGGATCTGCATTCGCGAGAAGGAGTCCACTGCCCTACATCTCGCTGCGGATGAGGGCAATGTGGAGTGTGTGGACCTGCTGCTGTCCAAGGGCGCGGATGCCAAGCTAAAGAACCATCGAGGCTTCACCCCGCTCCATCTGGCGGCACGAACTTCGAGTCTGGAGTGTGTGGAGTCGCTGCTGAGAAACGGGAATGCCGATGCCAATGCCGAGGACTTTGACCATCGCACGCCGCTCCATGCGGCGGTGGGAAAGTCCGAGAATGCCTACGACATCATGGAGACGCTCATCCAGTGGGGTGCTAATGTCAATCACAAAGATATATATGGCTTTACGGCTCTCCATTTGGCAGCGCTCGATGGCCTTGTGCAGTGTGTGGAGATGCTGATATTCCATGGGGCAGATGTTACCACCAAATCGAAGAAGGGCACATCCGCATTGAATGTGATCACACGGAAGACACCCTCATCGGTGGCCATGATTCGACAGAAGCTGGATGCAGCCATCACGCTGCATCATTCACAGGTGAGTGGCGGCTTTAACCTTTAGATTGAAAGATTTGTGAACTCTCTTATCATCCCTGTTTTAGGATCCCGTCAATCGTGAGGTGGAGCTGGAGCTGGACTTTCGCCAATTGCTGCAGCATTGTCATCCCCGTGAGATAAGCTATCTGAATACCTTTGTGGATGAGGGCCAAAAGGAGATACTAGAGCATCCCCTCTGCTCCTCTTTTCTGTACATCAAATGGGGAAAAATACGAAAATACTACATTGGACGCCTTATCTTCTGCTTCAGCTTTGTGCTCTTCCTAACGCTCTACGTCCTGACTGCCCTCGCCCACAACTGCTACAATGGCAGCAAGGATGACAATACGACCATTCAGGCCCAGGAACTATGCCAAAAGCAGTCCATCCTTGGGGATATGCTGCGAAACAATCCGTTTGTGATGGAAATGCAATGGTGGGTGTTGGTGGCCATCACCATTGTGGAGATATTTCGAAAGGTTTATGGCATCACGGGCTACTCTTCGTTTCGACATTATGTGACACAAGTGGAGAACATAATGGAGTGGTTTGTGATTACCAGCGTCTTTGTCATCTCCTATATCTACACGAACAAGACGTACACCTTTCAAAATCACATTGGCGCCTTTGCCGTGCTCTTGGGCTGGACAAATCTCATGCTGATGATCGGACAGCTGCCAGTGTTTGATGTCTATGTGGCCATGTATACCAAGGTACAGGGGGAGTTTGCGAAGCTCTTTATGGCCTACTCCTGCATGCTGATTGGCTTTACCATAAGCTTTTGTGTGATCTTTCCCTCGTCATCGTCGTTTGCCAATCCATTTATGGGCTTCATTTCGGTGCTGGTCATGATGATTGGCGAACAGGATTTGTCGCTACTAATCAACGATCCCGATGGCAAAGATCCACCCTTTCTGCTGGAGGTCAGCGCACAGATCACCTTTGTGCTGTTTCTGCTCTTTGTCACCATCATCCTGATGAATCTCCTTGTCGGTATTGCTGTGCATGATATACAGGGTCTCAAAAAGACGGCGGGACTCTCAAAGCTGGTGCGACAGACGAAGCTCATTAGCTACATCGAATCTGCGCTGTTTAACGGGTATCTGCCCACCTGGTTGAGGAATCTGCTGCACTACACGGCCTTGGTATCGCCACAGGCCTATCGCGTGGTCTTGTGCGTCAAACCGTTGAATCCCAGTGAGAAGCGCCTGCCCAGGGACATTCTAATGAAGGCCTATGAGGTAGGCAAGATGCGAAAACAATTCGGACACACCATCTCCTCGAAGAACCCCGCGGAGAACTATCTGTCCTACAAGAACAAGTACAACAACAGCACGAGTAATGGCTGCGCCTCAACGGGCTATGTGCTGGCCGGCGATCCCGATCCAGACGCGGGACAATTCACAACGCTAACGACCAAAATCGATGAGAATGCCGACAGGATTGAGTTTCTCACGCAGGAGATACAGGAACTAAAGCAGGCCCTCATATCGCAGCAACAGCAGGCGAGCAAAGTGATCGATAAGCTGCTGATTGTCATTTCCAACCAACAAAAGCAGAATTTGCGCAAATAGTTGCTAAAAGCATTTAGTAAAATCATCCGAAAATATGTTTAGAATTGAAGAGTTAGATGTTCCCTCCTATAGTTTAAGTGTGTTTGAGCAACCCCAGAAGATTGTTGATATTACCATAGAGGAATTTTTTGATATTTGAAGCGCCTGGCGTTCTGTATTCTATACTATATATATACCACACCCCATATACTACTATTATATATATACAACACTATCTGTAATCTAGAGTTTAGATGTAGTAGAGGAGGCGAGCAGTTTTGATTTGTGGCTGGTTTTAGGCTGTGTCTTTTGTTGTTTCGAAGCAGAATCGTTTAAATCATAATTTATAATCTTAAATAAAACCATATGATATGTATATCTATTGTTACATCCACTCACCTGTTCCCTGCTGTTTTCATCCTCAAAGTACGAGATATCCTGCCCATTGATGGTGATCTTGCCAGTGCCGGGCATTCGCACGGTGACATCAGCACGCGCCGTTTTCCGCAGACACTCATAGGTGGTGATGTACTGACGTCCCTGCTCGTCGATCTTTGGCTTAGGGACCTCAAGTTGCTTGGACTGATCCATCAGTGGCTTCAAGTAGCGCTCAATAAATGCCTTGCTCTTGTATGAGTAAGGGGAGGCAATCAAACGATCCATGGTGTTGGAAAAGTTCGTGAATTCAATGTCCGCAATGCTCTCCACCAACAGCTTCTCTAGTTGATCTTTGGGTAGAACCTGGAAGCCAGCGATTTCTCTGGCAAATAAAAGAAATATCTCATTATAAAACTCTTATGTAATGAGCTCGTGACACCTACAGCTTTTGGTTTTCATCGGGCTTGATGCCACGACGCAGCATGCGTTCCTCCAGTTCGTACAATTTGTTGGTCTCCTCCACAACTTCCTGGAATTTCAGAACATAAATTTGAACTCTCTTTTAATGAACATCAAATTCTATGAACTCACATGCAGAAGCTGGAAGAAATTTGGTTTTCCCGTGTAGAACATGCTATGAAATGGCCTGCCCGTCTCATCGAACTCTGCTGCCTTTCGCGCGGGAAAAACTTCCTCTGGTGTCTTCATGGCGGGCCTTGCTTTTGGATCGTACAACCCAGAGGGAAACAGATACGAGATGGCTTCCTGCAAGTCTTAATTCGTTAGTATCATACTATAACCATTAGAAACCCACTCACATTGATGTCTTCCTGGGTAAAGGTCTCGGCATCGGCACCCATCATATTGGCCAAGTGCCGCTTGCCGATTTGGAACTCCAGGTGCTGCGTTTTCATGAACTCGTCGTGCTCGGTGGCACGTGTCAGATAGGCCTTCATGGCTTTGCTGACCTTTTGCTTCTGGATAGCAGCCGGTGTGGCGTGGACAGTCACTTCTGTGGCAAATGAAGCCGCCGCCACCTGGAAAGGTTATGCAAACGTTTGCCATTATTGAAACAGTCGAATTGAGCTATTGGCAATCTCTGCTTCTGGAGTAGATCTACTTACCGCTTGTCCTGCAGGCATGGCCGTTGGCTTGCATGCATTTTGCAGCAGATTTCTATTAGTTTTTACTAAATTTAAACCAAAAACACGCAGGGCCATCGTTTCCAGTGGGACTGCGGAATTATCGATAAAATATACCGAAAAATACCCTTTCATTTTCAAAAAATACTGTAAATATACCGTAATCGGCATGAGGAAGACAACAACAGCTGTTTGAGCAGCGAAAGTGTGGGAAAGCGGTGATATGTTAAAATGGTGCTGCAAAACGTAAACCCTGCAACGTTTGAAGGGAGCGTAATTGGAAGAGATAAATGAATATAATTTATGCATGACTATGACCAAAAAACACATTTTATTTACCATTGTCCTCCTTTACAAATGCATTCATTAACTAAATTTTAAACACACAACTTCAATGCTGATATTTTTCATATATGGAAAAATGAAACATACACACGAAATCAAAAGGAACAGAAAAATGCAATGAATAACCCTTTTCAACAGCTAATTAGAATTAAATATTTTGTTTGTTGATTTAACGCTATATAATTAATTATAAATAATTGCCTAGGCTTAGCGTTGAGAAAATATGGTTCATCGATTGCATTATTTGGATTTAATGCAGCTACTAGAATTATGTTATGTATATCAATATTCTCATCGCTTCTAATCATCCTTGTTCGCGTCTCTTCATCATCATAATTCTCATCATCCTCATCGATCGTCATCATCATAATCATCATCCCTTGTTGTATTTGGTCGCAGTAAAATTGTATATGTATGTATATAAAGCAATTATTTATCAATAATAATGCCCACCACACGCCACGCCTACTTCCACGCCTGCTTGAGCAATTTACGCGACGCTAAATGCTTAACAATCAACGAGCCCGATGTGAGAGCGACTAGCACTATGGAAATTAGTATATAGTCAAAGTCCTCCTTCAACAAATCGAACGTCTTCGAGGGCGCAACGCGCGTAACGAACAAATCTATAATACAAAAGAATCAAATTTTAGCCATCTAACGAAGGAACATTTAAAATAATCTTCAGAGCATACCTAAACCTGTGGCAACGACTAGACAGGTACTCTCCAGACCACTGGGCGCAGTGTATATGTTACGCAGGCGGGCCACCGTCTGGTTATAGTTAATATGGCTCTCCGTGGGCAAAGGCAACTCGGGTATATAGGGAATGGCCCCCTCCTCGCGTCCCTGGGTCGTGGAAGCAATGGGACGGCGGGGATCCAGCAAATGCCAAGGCATTTCAATAATGGAGCCACTGGCAGTGCCAATTAGCACATGCTTATTGGTAATACCGCGCTCGGTAATTGTCTCGCGAAGCGCTTCGACAATGGCCGGTATGATATAGGACTGACGCTCCACGAGCGGCATGGGTGGCGCCTGCAGGGAGCTCCAGACGCTGCTGTTTGCCTGCGCCTTGCCCTCGTATAGTTCAATAGTGGCTATAAAATGAAAAATTTCGTATCCAAAATTGCATATGAATATCTTGTTTAACTTACTGATCTCTGTGCGTCGCACTTTCTCATTAAAGTACGAATAAGCGAGCCAATTTTCCGAGTGTACAATGGACAATGGAGCGCGCACCTTGCGATGGGTCATCGAGAATATCACGGAGCCCGATACAACATCAACCAAATATAAATTAAGCACGGCTAAAGAAATGGAAATCATTACTATAAGTTTAGCCAAACACCTTTGTCGCTTGTAGACGCAACTTACACTTGTGTGTGGCATCAGGGGCCTGTGTAACGAAGGCCACTAAATTGGGATTGATATATTTGTAGAGCACAGAACGATCGCCCAGCACACGTCCCTGGGAGTGAACATGCTCGATGGGATTTTTGCCGGCAACAGCAATGATTTGTTGCTCTGAATTATGACCGCCCAAACGGGCATTCCAAATGTGTGTGCACGACAGTTGCTGTAGAGGAGAACCATTCAATTAGTGGATGATTCTACGGTTTCAATTTGCAGTACTCACTCCACCCGCATATTTCACAAAGTATCCCTCGAGTTGTGCGCTCTTCACATCAGCTGTATACAGATACATGCCATTGGCCTGCAAAAGATATTCATAGAGGGTCAAAGGTCACTTTTGGGCTAGTTTTGCATTCATTTACCAGTGGCGTGGCATGCTGGGGATACACATGCACCTTATTGGAGGCATCCAGTATGAGTATACCCTTGACAAAGTCCTTTTCCGTCTCGGCCAGCAATGAAAGCTGCTTGATCTTAAAGTCTAGCTGCAGCAGGCCGCCCTCCGTGGCCAGTCCCGTGATGGGATTGAAGCGATAGAGAACACCATTGCCATTGACCTGTAGATCAGGATTTCGAACAATTAAAAGAGTTTCAGTTAAGAGTTCTCTCAGCGACACTTACAGAATTCTTGGCCACAATGGCGCACAGGGGCTGCAGTGGAAAGTGCTTGGCCGTGCGCTGTACAACCAAACGCATTTGCTCGGCATTGTCAAAGCTGTTGACTTTCGGTAGATACAGCTGCCAGTGATGTTTTCCCGAGATGTTGTCGATGCCAAATATCTTGCCATTGCGTGTGAGCAGCACCAGCATTTTATGAAGCCCAAAGGAGTCGCGAACCAAACCCGCCCGCTGTGTATCCGTGGGCGGTGGGCCCAGACCGATGACATGAAGGAATAGGCTTCGGATTTGAACAGCCTGCGTGCTAATGCGACGCAAAAAGGCGCTGGCAATGTCTCCTAATGAGAGAAAAACCATCAATTTAGATAAAAAGGGTTCGTAAAGAAGGAAATTATATAGAGATTTCGGCATATCTTACTGTCAAAACTTGTGGAATCCACTTATGGTAAGCAATTTTCAGGGTTAAACATTAAATAAACTAATTCTTAGCATTGAGAAAAGGTAACCTACCGGCTTTGCCCTTCATTTCGCTCTCTAACGTTCCCTCAGTATCGGCCAGGGGCAGGTCCATGAACTGCGAATCAATCACATTGGCCAGCGACTCCTCTCGTGACCAACGCACCTTTCCCTGCTGCACGGCCACAATGGACTCGGCGCTGGTACTAAACACAAACATACAACTCTTGCCATCGCCATTACGCTTCAGCTTGCAGTCGAAGCTGTTTAACGTGGGAGTGCCAAAGTGCTCGGGGAATTGTAGTGTCTGCTGCAACTCAGGAACGGGCGAGCAGTTATCCAAATAAACGGCACCGATTTTGAGATTCTAAACGAGGAATTTAACTTTTAGCGAGCACTGAGAGTGGAATTTTACAAAAAAGGAACCTACTCCTGATGTGAGACCGGCAGAGACCACAATTTTGCGATAGTTGAAGCTGCCCACTGCATAGCTGGCGCCTTGAAGGGCTGTGCACACTGCTTGATCCTTATTGACGCTCACAAGCTTGCCATCAACAATAACAACGCCGTTGAGACCCTGTTGGGGAATTGAAATTACAAGTTAATTGTTCGCTAATTGTTCCAGTCAGGGTCTTTGGCCCTACCTCTACTGCCTCAATTGTTCCCTGGGGCTCAGTTTCCAGCGCTGTTCTTATCACTTGGGTGCTCTTCGACACCAAATCCAAGCTAATCAACTGCTTGCCGTCCACACAAACGTAGAATGTGCCGCTGAGGGTACAGGTTTCTTTTGTGATCCAGGAGGCCATGATTTTGCTGGTGCTGCCAGTGCTGTGGCCAGAGCTGGCAAAGTAGCCGGTGACCTCTAGGTGGCTTCGCCAAGCCGGGACAATGTGATAGAGAATTGAATTGCTATAGAACCAGACGGCATCCTGAGCCTTCTCGGAATTCAGTGGCATTATGGACCATTCCCATTCGATGGTGCCGATATTGGTATTCCAGCCACGCACCAGAGCCGGCGCATGGCCCTGCACTGTGAGCATATCGAATCCCAAATTTTTGCCAATTGGTGCTGCGGCCGTTTCGCTGCTGTCCACCGAGAAACCGCTCACTTGGAGCAGCTTTATGTCGCCGCGCGGCTTCTGTTCGAGCACCTGTCGCCACATAATTGCGCCGGTTTTCGGGCATAATAAGGCCACGACATCCTCATGAGTGCTGACCAGCAAACGCGGTTGAAAGTGATTCAAGTCGACGCGAGATTGCTTCAGGGCTCCCACATGCACGCTTCGCCTGGTTGTGAATGATGATCATACGATTCGTTACACAGATGATGGTCAATGGTCAATGAGTGGATGTGTTGTGTCACTTACCAGTCGAATTTCTTAATCTGGTCCTCATACAGCGCCGAGCAGGTGCTCAAAAGTAACAGCGCTATGGAGATACCGGCTAAAACATTGATGCCTGGCATTTTCTTTGTCTTGCCGTTATGTTTCCGACTACCACAAGCACAACAAATTTAACTACAAATGCGTTTTTATGTTATAAATTAAAAAAAAATCCACATCAATTCGTGTTTTCCGTCATGGCAAAAGGGGATGAGAAGAAGAAATTGGAGCAGAGCAGGGTTGGTTATCGATAGCACGCAGTGTTGAACAGCAACTGATGGCGAATGCGCTTGGCTTGCAGCACTAAAACCAAACCACAACAAATGCCACAATTTCTGGAAAAATCGAGAAATAAATAAAAAAACGCCTCTAAATGTTTGAAAAGAAGAGCGACAAGGCCAAGGAGAATGAGCGTAAGCCGCGCGACGATGGCATAGAGCTGGAGAGTCATTTTATAATGCGCGTACCGAAGGAATTGGCCGATATTGTCCACGAATCTATTCAGGCGGGGAACGTAAAGGATAGATTATCTATACAACTGGATCAGGATCTCCGATATGGTGAGGTTAGGCTGGATGACCAGCTGCTCTACACGAAGCTTGTGGACCTGCCCACGGTTGTGGAGAGCTACAAGACCATTGACAACAAAAGCTTCTACAAATCGGCGGACATTTGCCAAATTCTGATCTGCAAAGAGGAGCCCGATGAGGAACCCGAGAAGGAGTCGCCCAACAAGAACAAGAAGAAGGATCCTAACAAGGTGGACAAGAAGTATTTGTTTCCACATGGCATAACACCGCCCTGCAAGAATGTTCGCAAGCGTCGCTTCCGCAAGACGCTGAAAAAGAAAAACGTGGAGGCACCCGAAATCGAGAAGGAGGTCAAGCACTTGCTTCGAATCGACAACGAGGCGGTGCGTGTCGACTACGAGATAATCAATGAAGAGGATAAACCCTCCGACGATATGGATCAGTCGGATATCAAGGCATACAACGACGCGGATGATGAAATGCAGGACGACAACACCATGAATGCCAGCGAGAAGGCTATCAACGAGGGTGGCATGCAGCGCGATATCAATGTGGAATCGGATGATGATGATACCAGCAACTTTGCCACTCAACATCGTGCCCCGAACCTGGGCGTGGCAGCCCACGACATCTTCGGCGAGGAAGTATCCACCACAGATGACGAAGACGAGGGTGAACAGCGCAACAGCAAGATGCAGCGACGCGAGCAGGAGGATTCATCCCGTCTTTCAGCTGACGATTCCCGGATGTCTGACTTCTTTGGGGCCAGCACCAGCGGTGCGGGCGGAACCAGCGGCATTAAAATGGAGCAGAACGAGTTCACCAAAGCCATGTTTGGCCAAGAGCCGAGCAGTCCCAAATTGAGTGCAGCTGGCTCCAGCTCGAACCTAGCTGCCCCGAGCGGCTTCTACGACAGCCAAATGCTAACGAAACGGGAAGAGTTTGAGAACATGGAGTTTATGGATGAACCACAGCCCCAGTACACACAACAGCAGGTGCACGAGAAGATCAACCAGCTAACGCGGCAGCTCAGTGAGCTGAAGGCACAGCAGACCCAAAAATCAATGGAAATTGCCTCCATTCAGAACGCCACGCTCAAGCAGCGCATGCAGGAGACTCTCGATAACTTGTATACGCAGGTAATTGAAAGAGAGCTGGAGCTTAAGGACTTTGAGAATATGCTAGAATCTTAAGCTAAATATGTTTTTTAAGTAGATTAAGTTTAAAGTTTAAATAATAGATAAGTTGCTGGTTGTGTCCCTGTGCTGTTTATTGTTCTTTAGATTCGATTTGCATCGAGATCTATTTCAAATATCAGTACAGGGCTGACAATCTACAACTGAAATGATGCATTACAAACATTGACCCAATGGCAGCGGCTGATTGAACACAGAGACCTTGCCATGTGTTCCGATTGCAACTCCTCCATGATGATGATGATATCCGATATGTGGTGACAATTTTGTTTTTTTTTTTAATGATCATAATGTCTTTTATTGGCATTTGCAATTAACAAACGTATATTCAAAAGTAAAGTGCATTTCGCACCGATAGGCAACATAGAAGTCTACATTTTGTACTATGAGTATAGTGGATGTCTTTTAAGAGAGCTCTTTTTCACTTACGACCTAAATAGTTAGTCTCTATAAAAATATGTATTTAAAAGCGGAATGGGTTCTAAATGCATTAATTTGTGACATCAAATTCCGGGCTCTCAATGGCTTTCATACTGTTTGTTGCATGTTCTTGTGTTGGTAGGTCGGTCAGTTTGGTAAACAAATAAGAGGGCTAGGGGGGATGCAAGCTGGTTTCCAAAACCTACATTTTTGAACTACATTTTCCGAAAATATTCCTTCATTGACTTTGCATCAATCCATCGATCACCAGCTGAGTTCGTCGGGTAGGCCGCCTGGATACTCGCCGGTGAGGCAGGCGGTGCAATGACCCATGGCCTTGCCTTTGCCCTTGCCATCTCCATCGCCCACATCGGCCGACTGCTGTTTCAGCTGCACAGCCTGCACCAAACCGGCGACACTCAGATAAGCCAAGCTGTCGGCGCCCACATGGCGGGCCAGTTGATCGGCATTCAGCTTGTTGGCAATCAGCTCCTCGCGCGTGGGTATATTGATACCCATGTAGCAGGGATATTGCAGTGGGGGGCTAGCAATGCGAATGTGTACCTCGCGGGCCCCAGCGTCGCGCAGCAACTTGATAATCGGCCCAATGGTGTTGCCCCTCACAATGGAGTCGTCGATGAGGACCAGGCGCTTTCCGTCCACATTCTCCGACAGAGCACCGAATTTCTTGGCCACTCCCAGCTGGCGAAGTCGTGTGGAGGGCTGAATAAAGGTGCGTCCCACATATCGATTCCTGCAAAGCACTTCGGCAAACTCCAGTCCAGATTCGCGGGCATAGCCATGGGACGCCGCTGTGCCAGACTCTGGCACCGAGCTCACTATATCCGCCTCGACGGGAGCCTCACGCCACAGCTGCCGTCCGCACTGCATGCGCACAGAGTATACCATCTGGCCCTCGAAGATGCTGTCTCCGCGGGCAAAGTAGACGTACTCGAAAATGCAGAATGCCATGCGCTTGAAGTCCGGACGCTCGACAATGTCCACAGTGCGGTAGCCGCTGCGTGTCAGCTCCACGATTTCGCCAGGCTCCACTTCGCGCACATAGCGGGCGCCGATCGAGAGGAAGCCGCAACTTTCGCTCGACACCACCCAGCCATCGGCCGGGGTCTCCGAGCTGTTGCCGTGGCCCGCGTTGATGGGCACAATCTTTCCAATACACAGAGGCCGATTGCCATAGGTGTCGCGCACCGCGTAGATCTTGTCCTTAAGCATGATGACCAGCGAGTAGGAGAGTGGAGCCAGCATCATGAAGTGCCTGATTCTGGCCGGCCAGTTGGGGCCGTCCAGCTCGGACACATCCTCGGGTGCACAGCACAGCGACTGGGCAATCAGCTCGCTGTCGCTGTGGGTGGAAAGACCCACACCACGGGCCAATACCTCGCGCCGCAGAGATTCATTGTTGACCAGCTCACCGTTGTGAGCCAGTGCCATGGCACCATGGGCCGTGTGCACCACAAAGGGCTGGCAGTTGACCACCCCTGAGCCACCGGCGGTGGAGTAGCGAGTGTGCCCAATGCCCAAGTTGCCGCGCAGCTTCTTCATCGAGTCGTCGTTGAAGAGGGTGCTGATCATGCCCATTCCCTTGTGGACGTTGAAGTTTGTTGAGCTCTTTCCCTCGCTGGTGGCGATGCCAGCCGACTCCTGGCCGCGATGCTGCAGCGCCACCAGGCCCAGACAAATCACGTGCGCAATGTCCATCTGCGTGGGCCAATCGCCACAGGCAATGGCCCCAAACACTCCACATTCATGCGTCAAACCGGTTAGCTCCTTGCTCTCAGCAATGGACGTGGGCAGTGCAGTCAATGCCGAGGCAGCTTCCACTTGTTGCGCTGCTTCCCCGCGCACATGTTGTTGCTGCTCTGGTGGCGTCGACATGTTGTTGCTGCCGATGGCTACGAATGCAGATTGATATTATACTCAGTTGGTCAGTTGGATTCGACTGAATCGACGAATGATTTACCTGTTGATTTATGCAACGGTTTTATACACGAAAATTCTTCGCACGCTTCGCACGCGCACCTTATTTGTGGGTGTCCGATCAAGCGCAATATCGATAGGCTTTAATTATCGATACGCGACTTAAAACTTTCCGATCGGCTGAAAATTAATTTACTAAATAAATAAAGGCAAACATCGTACATAAATGAAATCAATTAATGATGTTTCAAAATGAGTAAATAGATAAATGTATGCAGGGGATATTTTAGATATTTCTCAAAAATGCGCACCTATCGATAAGAGCACACGATATTTTATAAGAAAAGAAATGATTAATAAATTAAAGTTGTTCATCGTTTCAATTATGAACATTAACGCTAACGAACTCATGTGTCAGCAGTTTTCTATTCCATTTATTTTCTTGTCATGATGAGAAAACACCCAACTTAAGTACCTGAATCGATATTCGAACTCTCTTATGTACATATTGCTAATTAAACGATAAGATACGCTCTGGAATAATTATTTACATTCACAATCGCTAGGTTTTTTGGCAAAGAACGTAGCCTCTTGTAGTTTCTTATTTTCCGGCGTGTCCAGGTGCGTTTTGGCCTGCTCAATGTCCACTTTGATGGCGGCTATCAGTGCCTCCAGCGAGTCGAAGCTTTTCTCCGGTCGCAGATAGCCCACGATGCATATCTTAAGTAACTGGCCATATAGATCACAGTTGAATTCATGCAGCATATGGGTCTCCACACTCTTCTCTGTGTTGTTGTAGAAGGGATTCCAACCGACACTGAGAACCATTTTGTGCACGGATCCGTTGTCCACATTCGCCCAACCGTAGTAGACGCCTGTGAGCAGGGATTCGGGAAGAGATTTTACCACCTCCAGCGGAAAGTTGGCTATAAATAAAATTGATGAGTGGTTTGGTTATCTATTGGAAACGACCTTCGCGGTCACAGTACAATTCCCACGAACCTGTCGGAATGCCCAGCTCTTTTGAACCGCGGCCAAACCCCCTTACAATCTCTCCGCTGGCATAAAGAGGAAGTTGGTTCAGCATTTGGTTAATCTGGCCGTTGCTTGTCGTGTTGTGGTGACGCTTAAAAGTCTTCCTAGTTTTAGACAAATTCCTAGCCGAGCTGCGGTTGAGAAAAATGCAGTTGCTGATTGTTGGCTTCCACTGGGTGTGGATCACGTTACAGGAAAATTTATTCAGACCAGCAAAATAAAGACGCATCGATCACTGTATCGCTCGCTCTGATTGCCGCAGCGCCACTCGCATAACAATTAATATAATTAATTATTATAAAGCTAGTTTTTCACCGAGCCCAATCAGCTGACATCCGTGGTGGTGCCAACCTGTGTGATGTTTGTTTGGAAAGTGCGCGTGAATTTAAAACTGCAAAATAAAACCAGTGAAAAAATACCAAGAGCTCGGCAGAACTTTGACTCGCTTTACCAGATTACAAGAATTAACTTTACCTTTAAAGTATGACAAAAGTGGGGAAAAGTGCATACTCTCTGGGTACACTGCTTTGAGGTTGATTACAAAATGATATCCGTTCCACCGTGACAGAAATGCAATAAACATGTGTTTTATCTCAGTATAAATTGATAACATGAGTACCGATTATAAGATTAATAAATTATATTATAATCAGTTTTCGTTCGACTGCATAAATAAGCTTTGAATCGTATCCATTTAATGGCCATGTCTTGCCCTTTTTGAGCACCTGAGTAATGGCACTAACCAAATAGTATATTTGGTTAGTGGTACTGGGCTGAACAAAAACAGGGTTGATTTCTTATCGTTTGTATGGGAAAATCATCCCTGATTCTGTCGTAAGAAATTTTAGCGCATTCGAGTACTAGACTTTAATTTGAAAACATTTCGATTAATTGAAATTATAAAAACTAGCTGATCTTGTGAATAATTAAATTAAGATTACAGATTTTTTCTCTTTGCTAGAATGAAGTCTTGAAGATCGATAGTATCGATGGTGAACCGAAACAATCGAAGGTCGGCTTATTTTTCAACCATCGTTACTATCGATGACGCTATTAAGTTTTCTGTACTCGACGCGTTGTTTACCGCCAAAAACTCAACCAAAATGCTTATTAACTAAATTTAGTTTTTTTTAATTAAAACTAAATTATTTAGTTTAAAGCCAACTCATAAGATGGAGAATATGTGCAGAGTGTGTCTGGATGGCTCAGTGACACTGGTCGACATATTTGCGGCGATACGCAATCCAAAAAGTGGACCCGAATTTGGAAAAAATCCCGCTGACCTGCTGAGCCAGTGCTCGCCCACTTATTCTGTGGTGCGTGGCGACGATATGCCGCAGTTTATATGCCTCTCCTGCATTGACGCCGCCCAAAACGCATATCGTTTCCTTCTAAAACTGAAGCAAAGCAAGGCCAAGTATCGTCATCTTAATTTAAAGAAATTGAAATGCGTGGCTCCAACCAAAAGTAGTGTGGAAAATGTGTCGGAGCTCTCAATAGATGGCCATGATATTCAGATAATTAAGCAAATACCAGAGCTGGCTCAGGTGCCAGAAGCGAATTTTCAAAATCTAATATTAGAGGAGGATCACATACCAAATAATTTAGAACCGGAAAAATCACAGGAGCCTTGTTTCAAAGAGAGTTCTCCGGGTTTGATGGATCTACTAATGAGTTTGTCATCAGACTCTGAGAAGGGGGAAAGCGATACCGAGGCACCGAAGCTGACCACATTAATTGGGTGCAGGTGGTGCGGAAAGAAAATCTCGCGAGATCAGGTTCAGTTTCATGAATTGTGAGTATTACGGAGCAGTGCTTAGGCATAAATTCTAATTGATATTGTCCATCAGGTGTTCCTGTCCCAAGCTTCCGGCGTTCGCCTGTAATATTTGTGGCCAGGGATTCAGGACTGAATACCACCTAAATAAACACACGCACAGGCACAATATCAAGCAGACGTCGAAAAGGTATGGTAATTGTCTTAAATCGAACCAGTGCTAATTTTCGTTATTTCTCGCCTTTAAAAAGCAATGGAAAGCCTCCTGAAGGTACAATTTCGAGTTCACCCAAAAATAAGCAACCAGAAGACCACACAAATGATCGTGAGAGGAGCATTTCTCCCAGAAAAGGTCGTAGCACTGAAGAATTTCTATGTCTGGAATGCCATAAGACTTTTGACTCCAAGGAAAAGCTGACATTTCACAGGGATATGATGTGCCATAAATGTCCCCATTGCTCACGCTTTTTGACAAGCGATCGCAGTCTTAAGAGACATCTCAAGGAGAACTGTACAGTGGCAGTCTTTGACTGCCGTCGTTGCCCACGCAAATTCATGCTAAAAGATAACTTGCTGGCGCACCAGAAATCTCACCATAACGATAGCGATGGAACTTTCAATTGCATGAAATGCCATGCAGAATTCAATGATATCGTTTATCTGCGGATCCACGATAAAGAGCACTATCCAGATCAAGGGCAAGTTAAGCATAGCCAAGGAGTTACAGGAGCCTTGCAACTAAAGCATAGCCAAGGAGATACAGGAGCTGATCTGCATAGTAACAGGAAACGTCACATATCGGATCAAGGTCAAGAAAATGGTCAACTGAAGTGTAGCGAAGAAGTTACAGGAGCTACTACCCGTAGTGCCGGGAAACGGAGGTTTAGCCAAGAAGATGCAGGAGTTTCTTCCCGTCGCTTAAGGACTCCATCACTGCTGAAGCGGTAGTTTTTCCAATCGAATGATTAAATAGATCTTAAGTAACTTTTCAATCCCGCCAGGATGCAGAGCTGCGACGACACGGACACTGACACCGACACATCAAGCGATACCGTGAGCCCATCCTTGGCAAAGTACGTCTATCTGCTTGCATATAGTTGCATTTTCTTAACATTTTGATTTATCCTACACCAGAGAAGCGAGTTTTCCCTGCGAGGATTTTTTTGGTAAGAAGTTTGCGACAAATGCTATCCTGCATAATCACAATCGTTTGCACGCTCGTCCCTACAAGTGCGAGCGCTGCACGAAGAAGTTTTCTCGCAAAAGTCAACTGGTTGAGCACAGTCGTTGTCACACGGGCGAACGTCCGTTCAAACACAAGCGTTCCTACAAGTGCTCGGACTGCGGCAAAACATTTGAGAAACAGCAAAGCTTTTTTAGGCACGCTCTTGTTCACACGTTCGAACGTCCCTACTTATGCTTGATTTGCAACTCGCAATTTAAGCGAGAGGCTTCGCTGAAGAGACACGCTCGTACGCACACTGGCGACCGACCGTTCGAGTGCCCGTATTGCGACAAGAAATTTACGCGCAATGAATGTCTGCAAATACACAAGCGCATTCACACGGGCGAACGTCCCTTTGGGTGTACGCAGTGCGACAAAAAATATTATCAAAAGACAAAGCTGGATGAACATATTCTAGATCACACTGGCCAACGTCCCTACGAGTGCTTGATTTGCCAAAAGGTATTCAAGGGTAAAGCTGCTCTGAACAGACATGCTCTTACGCATGCCGCCAAACGTCCTTACGGGTGCTCCGATTGCGACAGGAAATTTACATCCAATTCAAACCTGAAGAGGCACACTCTTATTCACACTGAGGCACGTCGTTTCAAATGCCCTCACTGCGACAATGAATTTCAGGTCAAGCGAGACCTTGATAAGCACTTATTTGTTGTTCACGAAATAAGTGTTTACGAGTGCAAGCAGTGCAACACGAAATATGTTCGCAGAAGCGACCTGACCAGGCACCATCGTCTGCACAATAGCGAGAATTATTTAAAGTGCGAGGATTGCGGCACACATTTTCAGAGCCGTTGTGACATGATTAACCACACTCGCTGCGATAAAGGACCCAACACCTGCTTGCAATGCGGCATACAATTTAAGCAAAGCTGTTTGCTGAATCAGCATGTTGCTCGTACTCACAGTACTCACGAAAGTCTTCCCGAGATGAAATTCAGTGCGAGTACGGATCTTGAGAAACATAAGCTCAAAAGAGCGGCGTCTGACAAGTCAAGCTTTACCAAAGTTAATAAGCCGGAAAAGCGTTTGGTCGTACGTTTGACTCGTGCAAAATTGCCAATGAACTTATAATTTTTTTGTTTCTTTACGTTTTGCAGGAAAACCAGGACGATGAAAGCGATTAGATCTTTATTTTGTTATTGACGTTAATGAATAACTCCTTTGTTTCGTTTATATTTTTGATTTAGCCTAAAAGACTTGAAGTTTTTTCCTATTTTTGTTAACTATTCTTTCATCATACATTATAAAAATCATTTTGGCATATTAAATAAATTTCTTAATTTAGAATGACTGTTAAGTTTGGAAAACTTTATAAAGTGTATAGACATTTTACTTTAAATGAATTATTAAAATTGAATGCATCGATAGGCCCTCTGTGCTCGCGGCGAAGGACTGTATCGATGGACTATCGATAGCAATTATATCAGCTGTGAAAGCATGATTATCTAAACATTTATTTTTTATTTCATGGTAAAATTTATTAAAATGAACGTGAGCAGGGCCATGAGTAAAAGATGGGCGCAACAGTGCGTCTTCAATCGAATCGGTACGTATTCATGAGTTTCCGGACGAAAAATGTACATCCAACTTATTTTTTCAGTCACATTTTCCACAAAACCCACGCAACACGCCGCCGCTGTCTCCGAGCCGGCAGCAGAACAGAAAACAGTTTCGACTCCTGCCGCCGCTGCAGCTCAGCCAGCCACAACCACGCCCGCGCCCACAACGGCACGCAAGCCTATTGTACCTTCAAACTATAGGTTCATTTATCCCGAATTCCTGCCTGATCCCAAAGTGGAATGGCGGAACCCGATCCGTGAGAAGCTTGAACGCTTAGATATGCTAGACCGGCGGCGTCAAATTGATCTGCCAGAGTTCTATGTGGGCTCCATAATGGCAGTGACCAGCTCCGATCCCCATGCTGCGGGCAAGACCAGTCGCTTTGTCGGCATTTGCATCAATCGGGACCGCTGCGGTCTGCGCTCGCGATTCGTGCTGCGGAACGTGATTGATCATCAGGGCATGGAGGTGGTCTACGAGCTGTACGATCCCACCATCCAAAAGGTGGAAGTGCTGCGGCTCGAGAAGCGTCTGGACGACAACCTGTTCTACCTCCGCGACGCTCTGCCGGAGTACAGCACATTTGATGAAAACATGGAAGCAGAACACCTGGAGGAGGGTGCCCCAGTGCCGGTGAATGACATCAAAGTTGTCCTCCGTCCACGACCCTGGCTGGAGCGTTGGGAGCGCCAAAACCTACTCGGTGTTGCAAATATTGATCAGTATATTAAGGACAAGCACCGCAAGTCGGCGGAAAGAGTGCAAAAGCCTTGGGAGAAGTTCGATATGATGAAACAATATCGCTCCACCATACCCGAGGAAGAGCAGAAGGAGGTCTTTGCCGAGGTCCACACAGAACTGCACAGCATGGAGCTGCAGCGCAAACGCAATAAGCGAAAGCGCACCTTTGTGAAGCCCAAGCAGCTTGCATAAAACATTTGCATTTGTTATTCATAGTTTTACCCAAATAAACCTAAAACGTGTTGTATGATTGAAGGACTCTTAAGAACTTTGGATAATGCTAGAACGTCTAGTTTATTAGTCATCATCGTTGAGGGGATGGTGGAGGTGCTTAGCAGCTAACAGCAGAATAAATTACAATGCACGTTGGGCGTTTAATAAACGCGATACTTGTAGAAGTTGACAAAGGATATCGTGGCATTCCAGCCAATGATTGTAACGACCAGATACAACAGGAAAATAATGGGCAGAGCAATGAGTATGAGGCGGGTGTTCTTCAGATGGGGAATGCCTGCAAGAGAAAGTCAAAATCAATATCCTGCATTCCAATATCCTGCATTTACTCACAATTGTAGCCCAGGAAGGTGATATATACATAGTAGCTCATCCCTAAGAGCCAGAAAGTGTTGCCCAGAAACCGCGATATGAACCACGTGTGACTAATCAGCCAGTTGTAGAAGAAGAGCTGGATGCAGTGCAGCAGCATGAGGGGCGGAAAGAAGGCATTCAGGTGCACATCGAACGCATAGCCCCACTCAATGTCTGGCTCCAAGCTGTTGGTGCGCAAAAAGCGATTTGTAATCGCCCAAAAAAATGATGCAATAATAACGCCAGCCAGAAGACAATCCACGCCAATCACATAGAAGATGAAGCCGATGCTCTGCAAGAATCTCAGGCCCAAGACATAGGCAAATCCCAGAGACGTCACTGCAGATAACAGCAGATAAATTAGCACACCGAATGGTGGGGAGACGATGACGAAGACGACGAGTGGGTGGGACGTCGTCACTTACCACATAGACAGACAATCAAGAGCACCAGAAATGCCGGATCGTCTCGGGCGAACTGTGATTTGGTTTGTTTTCTGTAGTTAAAGTTCCTATACACCTTCTGGGGTGCTATTAGCAGATAGATCATTTGCCACAGTGCAAATTCGAAGTCCATTTGATTGAACTTCAGCAGACGTCGCAGATACTTGTAGCTCTTTGTGGTCGCAGACAGGCAATCCTTTCGATGGTTCACTGGGGGTGGCAGGTGCGAGGTGAGCCGAGAGGCGCCCGAGTAGCCCGACACCACGGATGGCGTCGGCGACGTTGTGTACTTAACGTGGCTATATTGGCTCATTTTTGTTTTGTTTTTTTTTTGTGGTTTTATGTGACCGCTCTACCCTTGGGTAGGGGGGGATTCTTTGGCCGCCCGCCTTTACAAGGTGGAAATCGCCACGTCGAGAAATGTAACTTGTTACAGTTTTACTACTTTTTTGTCGATGAACTCGATTAATGTTTGGGACGAGCTAATTTGTTCTTTTTCGAAGAATTTATGGATATTATTATATTTCTTAGCGATGGATAGTTTTGTCTTGTTGTGTTGGTACAATTAAAAATTATATGCGATGCGTTATCGATAGTATCGCAAGTATCACAAATGTTACTTGCGACTACGTGCCTTTGAAAGCAGTATGTTGCCACTCCATGTGGCAACAAATAACGGCAACACCAACGTGTTTGATAACGTTTGATAATGAAAAACCGTTTATAAACTTGTGTTGATCTTTCATATGTTTTATTTAGATGGGCGACAATCGACCATACCACACGATAGTTACGAAGTATCGATAGCAGGCTGACAATATTAAAATTTTGATTTCGTATCATTAATGAACAAGCAACACGGACTGTTGATCCTCTTAGCTTCAATGGCTTTTAGCTTATTTCTATATAAGAACCATGAAACCATAAGAACCTCTGCGTTTAACGCTGGCAAACTCGGCATACTCTCTCTCCCATTCTTCTTTTAGTATTCGGCGTATCTCACATATTGCATCTTTAAGATTCCATTTAAGGACTGTATACTGTATATTTTCCCAGTGTGTGTGCTTCTTTGGCTGCTGAGTCTACTGCCGTGTTCTGAGGGATGTTGGCGTGGTCGGGTATGAAATGGATTTCTACCTTCTTTAGCTATTGGACTTGACGGATCTTTTTCCTGATTTTATAAGCAATACAATTATCCTGAATGCTCTTTGCCCGTATTAGAGCCCTTAGATACGTGAAAAACTTCACGAGATAGCATGGTCCAAGGCCTTTTCGATTGCAAGCAACTCGGCGGACAGAGATTACAGGGTTTTGTGGAGGAAAGGAAAGCTACGCTAGAGTGTCTGTTTGCTTCTGATCCATCAGTGTAGTAGGTCTCGAAGAGACCAGAGGCGGCTGTCGGCTCAATTATGGTCTGGGGGCGAAGATGCCTTGAAGACATTAATATTTAAGATTCTTCCAATTTACTTCCATTTCCGCCAAGTACTTTGAAATTCTATATCGAAAATAAATACTTTTAATACCTTTTCCGACTTTCTACGAGTTTTCAACTTTTAACCAATGAAAAACCTCGAAATTGTTCGAAAAACTAGTTTTTTCGAGGAAACGGTGAGGTTCGTTTTGTATGAAACTTCTTTGTTTTTGATGTTCTGTTTAATATTACTAGCTTTCAAAGTCTTTTAACACTAAATTCTCTCTATTATATAGAACTCAAATGGTGAATTTTGTGTGTTAAGCTGATTATTATCAAATACCTAATTCATGTAACTATCAACAGAGGGCTCTGCCATGGCATTGAGACTAGTGCTAGAAAACGACAATGTGCTCGTACTTAATAGTCGGTAGCACCGTTCAATTCAAATTTGTATTGTCATCGTGTACAATAACTAGTTTCGCTTTGTTATTAGCAATTTACTAAGGACTTGTAATTATAATTATTTATAATGCAAATGTAATCTCGACATCTGTGCGCCAATTTATCAATACTCAAAACTCATTCAATAATACAGTTTTATAGTAATAATTTAGGGATTACATACATACTTATGTACGTGCAGAAATATGGATCGCACAATCAAAAGCGGAAAATGTAAGCCCAGCAAAACATACGTTAAACACCCACAATTGCTGGGCAGTTCAATGGAATCTGTCAGTTTCAGCTGCCGAGCAACAATTAAGGCATCATTCAGCGTACATGGACCCAAACCCAATGATCAGCGATCAACGGTCAGCGATCACCGGGCTGGTCCTAGGGGCAATTTATGGCACGGTCTCCAAGCAATTGCTAGGATAGGGACAAAAAAACAATCTTTATCACATTTATTGCAATGCCCTTTGCCTTTTGTCAACGATGCCAGCGGCCCAAAGACAATGGCAAGCGGGTGCCAAAGTAGAACGGCCAGCAGAAAAGGTCAAACAATGACCCTTCCCAAGGAAGCGGCCGAACAAAACGAGCAGCCAAAGCGCGCGCACGCACTCTTTCTCTCTCCCTCTCTCTCTGCCACCCGACATTGAGGTTGTCTTAGAGGTCAAGTTTGACCTTACTTAGAGGCAACCCCTATTGATGTTTAGAGATCCCAGAGATCCACTCAATTTTTGTGTTGATCTTGCTGCATCTCTCAGGGGTAGATTTCTCTCAGACATAGAGCGCGAGTGAGCGGTTCTCTCTCCCGCAGTTTTGATGCTGCTTGAGTGAAACACTCGGGCGATTGGGCCGTCCCATCGATCCTTGTCCACGCAGGACACTTCCGGATTGCATTCAATTGTAATTCTGCAACAATTGCGCTTTTCTCTCTTTGTCACTGTTTGTGTCTGTTATTGGTTTTTTAGCTCATGTTACCTTCATTGTTAGCGCTGAAACACTTCCAAGATAAATGGCCAAAAATTGGCCGGATAGCACAGCATTCAGCATCCAAAAAGCAACAGCAGCCGTTGGCTGTCTGACAGTTTTTGGCGCCCATAAAAATTAAACGAAAATTAAGCGCAAACATGAGAATTCTGTCACATAAATTGCGCCAGTCCCCTACACCCTCACAGACCATTGCTATCCCTTCAAAACCTGCACCTTGCCTCTCAACTATTTTTAGTCCTTCGGGCAGCTGTTGCCTCCACTTCACTCGACTCAACTCGACTCCAATTCTCGTTGTTACACAAAAATTAGTCCATCTGCGGGGCAGAGAGTTATGCATTGTACGATGCTGCTGAGGTTGCTGCTTGATTAACACATGTCCTGCCCCATGCGGGCGTATCCCTGGCGTATCCGAACAAGCACTTCTCTGCTCCTTCACATGGCACGCAGGCGCAGTAGCTGGCACCAGATATGTTCGTGCTTAGTTTGTTGATGCTCTTAACTCATTCATTATGAATTGGAGGTGTTAAATATGGCACATGCATCATGTTGCGGCTGCTGCAGAAGTTTCAGTTGCCACCGCTGGAAACAGTGCAAAGGGAAAAGGTTTAACCTGGAGATCACATGTGGGAGAGTGACTTTGAGGTCTTGGAGGTCTTTGTCTTTGCCTGCATGATTTGGGCAGTTGTTGATCCCAGGAGAACTCATCTGAATGTTATATATTTTGTTCTTAACTCTCCTTTAACCAAAAGCATAGATAGGATTAACCACTCTACAAATGGCAAGCAATTTCTATACCTACCTAAGCTCTTTCCAAACTCTCTTCATAAACAAATTCAAAATAAATCACTTCGATTTCCCGCTTTCTTTTCTTTCCCATTAGTTCAGCTTTTCTTCGCTTTCCATTCAACCACTAAAAAACTATCAATTCTTTATGCCAAATCATGAATCACTTCAATATTTTGTGAAAAAAACTACGGGAATCTCTCTGTCGAAATCCCTGCCGTTGCAGCCACAAAGAAACATCAAAGATTAATCATGCGTCCATAGAGAGAGAATGCCACAAGATTGTGATCGTGTAACATGGAGAAATCATGGGAATAACAATAAATACAAAACACTGAATCAATCATAAGACGCGAAAATCCTTAAGGATATCAAACAATAGCTCTGAAAACGAACCAAAGAGCGAGGGTCTCGACCCTCGTGAGGCAATGTTGCGCGTGCGCAGCGCACGCTCCCGTTAAATGTTTACGCTATTACGATCCTAAGGGAGCAGGGAGCAAGGAGCAAGGAGCCAAGGAGCAGGCAAGGAAATGAGCCTATTATGGGCGACCCTCCGACCCAACGACCCCCCGACCTCTGAGACTGGCACTGCGACCCCGGAAACACACAAATCTTACGCGCCAATGTCGCGTCTCCGAACACGCGACATTTACATTCCGAAAAGGCGACCCTCGTGGACCTCTTGCCTTTTCATACGCTTTAGGGGTGTCTCACAAATGATTTTCTTATGTCTGCTCCTTTGGGATTTTGGAATTTGTGTTTGTTTTTCCCGGGAAATGCGACTTCTTCCCATTCAAATGAGTTGAGCGAAGGAGCAGCTCCTTCTTTGGCGACGATATTTAGTGTGATCTTTAGCAGATCTTTGACATCTGCCCCTGGCTCTGGCTGGGCTCCCCTCTCTCACCGCGTTATGGAGTTATGCCCTAATTTCTGGTAGTTCTTGGTTAATTTTTCAAGTTATGAAAATTTGTTGCGCTCCAAAATGAATGCTGCTACCATTCGAGATGCTACGGGGGGTCCTTCACTCCTTCAACAGCTGACAAAAATGAATATTATAACCGAAATCGAAGAGAGTTTCCAACTCCATTGAGGCCTTGGCTAAGTGTCAGCTCAGATTTAACGCCAATTGAGAGGACATAAAGAAAGTACTTACCAGAAGAAGGCATTATCAAAGCTGGCCCATCGGCTGAATGGACTCTCATTTCACGGCTGTCCGCTTAGGACCAACTCTCACGGAAGAGAACGCTCCAATTAGCCCAGATAAAAAACTTCACTTCTACTAATCCCTTCAGCGTGTGATTGGCCTCAGACGAAGGCAAAGATCGTCATCGGCCATCAATGGATGCATGGCATACAGATTTAGATCGCCAACAATATGAAAATGTCACGCTTATCGGGGCAGAAAGAGAAACCTGAATGTCGCTCGTATCGGCACAAGGATCAGGTCTTCATCGTCCCTCATCTGTTGTGCGGTTTGGCGGCAGAAAGGAAGTCGAGACCACTGGGCCTCGCCTCGGCTCACCCATTGCCACTGCCAGGGTCCAACTTTGTCCTCGTCATCATCATTGTCGCCTTTGGTTGTTTTTCTAGCCGTCCATCAGCTGAAGCTGAAGCTGAACCAAAACCGGATGGAAGCGGAATATAATAACAATATATGAACACGTATCCTGTGCAGAGGATATTGCTACGCAGCCGCATACAAATCGTATTCGAAAGAGAGAGAGAGAGACATATTTGCCACTGCCTCTGAAATGAGATGCAGGCGTTGCTCCCACTCCAGGCAACGCTCATCCACCTTTTCCTACTTTTCCTGCTATGGGACGTAACTCCCACTCCGAGTGCCAGGACCCGTGCCTCTCCCTGGCGGCCCATTGTGCGCACAG